ATTTTGCCAAAGATAATTCTATTTGCTGTAATAAACTTTTACTTCCACAGAAGCTGATGTAATCATTCAGAAATATCTCTAAACAGATATTTTAAATGCTTTTCTGGAACTTTTGTTCAAAATACAGATGTTCCCAAAGTAGAAGGGATTAAATTAACTGTCATCAAAACATATAAATTTTCTTCCATTTTGCATTTGACATGGCTTTTTATTATAATCTGTGAGGGAAATAAATATTTACAGTGGTGGATACCAAATGTCAACAGAGCTATTAAATTCTCAAAATAGTAAAAAATTTTTATTGTTAAAATATAGTCAATATTTAGGCTTTGGATTTAGCTCAGTGGTGCCACATTTGCCTCACAAGCGCAAGGTCCTGAGTTCAATCCCCAGTACCAGGGGAGGAAAGTAAAGATAGATAGACAGACTGTTAGTCAATATTTTAAGGTTAAAGTTCCTTCTTAAACAGGGTATGGTAGCACATGCCTATAAATCCCAGTTCCTCAGGAGAATCAACGCCAGCCTGGGAAACTTAGCAAGACCATCTGAAAATACAAATAAAAGAAAAGGGATAGCTCATGGTAGAACACTTTGTCTAGCACAATCCCCATTACTGCAAAAAAAGGGGGGATTCATTTTCACAGATGGTACAGAATAACACTCTATAATAGGACAGAAAATAGGCTCAAGCTTGCCTGAAAAGCAAAATTACAATGCTCAAAAGCACTGTATATCATGTGTCAAAAAAAAGTCTACCCAAATTGGTTTCTGTAAAACCTTACCATCTGTTAGGGTTCCTTAAGGTTAACTCTTGCTATGATTAAATCAAAATCATATTATAGCTGGACATGGTGGCACATGCCTGTAATCCCAGCACTCGGGAGGCTGAGGCAGGAGGATCCCTGTGATTTAGAGACCAGCCTGGGCTACATAGTGAGTTCCAGGTCAGTCTCAACTACATAGTGAGACCCTGTCTCAAAACAAACAAACAAACAAACAAAATCATATTATGGCAAATTTGTTTACTTTATATTTTCTGATAGGTTTACGGTATTCTCCAAAATAATGCACCTTGGAATTTCAGCAAATAGCTGGAGGAAGAACCCTTACATCTTCTCTCAAGAAGGCCATAAAAAAATTCTACAACCTTCCTCTGAGATATATGAAACTTTCATTCCAGAAGTGCCCTTCTTACACCTAGAGAAAAGGAACAGCCTCATCCTCAAAGACACAGATATCAAGAAGTATCTGAACATTTATAAATAGGCCTTGCTAAATTCCCTCCGGTTTATTACCATTATATCATACCCTCTGTCTAATCATACTTTTGAAGGACAGCATAAAAATGCACAGGTTTCCTTGTTTTTTCGCTCTTCATTTCTAAAGGCTATTGGTAGAACTTTAACTTTTAAACTTTTCTATTACTCTGATTTTTTTGTTTGTTGTTTTTTTTGAGACAGTGCCTCACTATGTAGTTGAGAATGACCTGGAACTCACTGTGTAGCCTGGGCTGGTCTCGAACTCACAGCGATCCTCCTGCCTCAGCCTCCCAAGTGCTGGGATTACAGGCATGTGCACCATACCCAGCAAAAAAAATTTTTTTTTTTAAATGTGGGCAAGGGGTGTATACAGCAGAGACAGGAAATTAGAATATGTATATGGTGAAGTTTAAGTTAATATATCAAGGACATGTGACTTTGCCCTACAAAGTAAGGGAATACTGAATCAGTGTAGTATTCTGTATAGACCTGCTATGACTTACAGCAGTGATCATTAAAAAAATTTTTGAGAGCTGGGCATAGTGGCACATTCCTATAATCTACCTCAGCACTATGGAGGATGGAGCAGGAAGATCTTAAGTTCCAGGCCTGCGTGGGCTATACAGTGAATTCAAGGCTAGCCTGAATTACATAGACGAGATCTCAAAATTTTTCTTTGAGCATCTCCTAAAGTACTTGTTAATCTATGTACTTCTTCCATAATTTTCTAGTTAACTAAAGTTTTATAACCTAGTTTAAAATGATTTTATAATGTCATACTTAAAATATTGATAACTTACGGAAACTGATTACTTTTTAATGTATCCAGTGGAATCTAAATACCATAACAACTTGGCGTCCACCATTATCTGCTTTTAAATAAAATAAAAGAAATAGCCGGGCATGGTGGCGCATGTCTGTAATCCCAGCACTTGGGAGGCTGAGGCAGGAGGAATGCTGTGAGTTCAAGACCAGCCTGAGTTATACAGTGAGTTCCAGGTCAGTCTCAACTACATAGTGAGACCCTGTCTCAAACAAAACAAAACAGCATACAAGAAATAGGGCTGGGGGTTTAGCTCTGCTGCCTGACTTGCAAGCACAAGGTCCAACAACAACAACAACAAAAATACATGAAATAAATTTAAATACTTGAAATTTTTACAACTTTCTTTTTTCCCTTGAACTTGAATTTTCATTCCATTCTTAATCTAGAGCAACAGTTCTCAACAGAAATGGAAGGGTGGAGTCCCCAGAGGTGATGGTAGGAAAATTTTCTTACCAGGGGACATTTGGCAATGTCTGGCAACATTTTTAATTGTCAAAAATATAGGAAAAGGGCTGGGGATTTAGCTCAGTGGTGCTGCACCTGCCATGCAAATTGCAAGGTCCTGTGTTCAATCCCCAGTACAAAAAAAAAAAATGAGGAAGGATGATAAACACCCTGTGCAGCTCAAATAGTCCTGGACAACAAAGAATGATCTGATTGAAAAATATCAGTGTTCCAAGACTGAGAAACCAACTCTTAAAAATGATACATTTTTATACTTAAAAGTCTTCTACTCATCCCTCTATACTTCTTTAAATTAAAATACTCATATAATTGAAAAAATATAGATTTTTCTGTAACATACAGCTCTGTTTGGGCCAAGGATGTTAGCTCAGTGGCACAGTAACGGCCTGGCAAGCACAAGGCCCTGAGTTCGATTCCCAGTACCAAAAAAAAAGCCTGTTTAGTAATGTTACAATTATTAATACTCATTAATCTAAACCAAACTGGTTAAACAATCACTATCAAATGGAAAAAGAAAATAGATTTAAAATAATCGACTGCAATATTTCTATTTTATCTCAGGATATTACTTAGATTTAAAATAATCTGCAATGATATTTATATTTTCATGTTTATGAGCAGAGAAATCTTTTTATATGAATAAGTCAATGAAAAAAGGACTTCTGTTGCAGTGTCTTTCAATTCTGTGAGCTCATCCTAAGTTATGTACCTGAGTTACACCATGATCTATTTTTAAAAATTACTTTAGTGAAATATCAGCTAAAAACCTAATTTAGAGTCTCTTCAAACATTGCTAAATTTGAAAATGATTGACTTGTTATGTAGTCCTTTATTTATTTTCTTAATATCTACAGCTACTGGAACCCCAGAGATTTTTAAACCCGGCTTTACAAAAAGACCCAAATTAAACATCTTTGGTGGGGGGAGATATCAGGGATTGAACTCGGGACCTTGCCCTTGCAAGGAAGGCAAGGGAACCACTGAGCTAAAATTCCAGGTCCCTAAGTTATTTTTTGTTTGCGTGTGTGTTTTTTGGTGCCAGGGATCAAACTCAGGACCTTGTACTTACTTACAAGGCAGGCTCGGGCACCACTGAGCTGCAACCCCAGCCCACATCTTTGGGAACTTCTTTTACTTCAATATGAGAATAAGATTTCACTTAGCAGGGTTTAAGGAGCTCACTAGGCATTTTGTAATCTAATAAATCACTTTGGCAGCCTATTAGCTGCCCCACAACCATGTCTGTTTATTAGTCCATCATGAAAATTCAAGCACAGGTGTCTTCAAATACCTATAGCTAACAGCCTGGGTCTTAGAAACCATATCGTGGACTTTGTGGAAGTTAGACCCAAATATGATTTGAGTTCCCTCCACTGCTACCTTACCTCTTAGATACTCTGTACTGTGCTGTGGTCAATTTTCCAGTCTCAGGGTCATGTACTGTAGCTCGGCTCAGCTACAAAAAAAAAAGAGAAAGGACAAGGACTTACTCTAGTAGCAGGCAATTTTGGGCTTTTGTTTGTTTTGTTTTGTTTTGCCAAGCCACAGGTGATTGGAAAGATTCAGGCTGCTTTGGATGGCAGGGAATGGTTTCAAACCAACAAAAACATTTAGAAAGGTGGCAGTTAGAACGGCCACTTTTAAGTCAAGAAAAAAATGGGTTGACAGATTTTTGCTATAGATTTATTGTCCTTTCACTTTTTTTAAGAAAATCATTTGAAGCTTTATGTAAATGATATATAGCACTGGGTTTCACAAGTGCTTTCCCAGATCTAGAAGTTTAATGCTCTTTAAATATTTTGGAAAAAAATTTAGTATGAAGTTCATTTTTTAAAACTCTCAGATGAAACTTTTTAAATCTCTATGCAAAATAAAAGGCATCTAGGTTCAAGTAATTTTTGGAAGACTGAATTCAAAAGCATAATTCTTTCCATTGCCAACTTCTGAGTCAACATAATAAAACTCTTAACAGGAGGAATAAAGATTACTCCATAATGACAATGATATTTTATAAGACATAAGAACAAATGCCAACACAATCACCATGAAGGATGATCTGAATCAGTGCAGCCCTTGCAAATATGAGAACTGCGTAAGCATGGATTCTCAGATTAATCAGGCTGCTGCTGATTTCCCACTTTGAAAACAAAGGGGAAAAAGAAAACAAGTATCAGGCTCTTTCCTGGATATCTGAAACCTAATCTTTAAAAAAAAGGCATATTAATTTGCTAGACATAACAGACTAAAGATTAGAAACAGAACTTCTAGTTAAAGGATAAAGCTTGTGAAACACAAAGCAGTTTATTCATGCGTTATCCTGTTCATGGGAGTAAGGCAGTGACTTGAGCTGAAGACTGAAATGATCTATTTCCCCTAAATGAAAAAAAATTCCTGTAGGATGTATAAAACACTCATTAGAGGGCAAAATATGCAACATACACATCTCTTACCTTTTGCTAATTCTGTAATGTACCGTCTCCAAGTCTCCTGTTATTGGGTTTGAAATGGTGGCTCGCCTCAGCTGTGAAGCCAACCATCAAAATAGTTGCATTACAAGACAAAACATGAATCATATTTATCCAACCAGTCAGAATTCTGGTGTTTTGTTTTAACAAAGGAAGGTGAATAGAAAAAATAACTCCATATACTTCCAGTCACCTTGAGTGGAGCCATGAAAGCCAGTTGGTTTTTAGGTGTTGTGTTTGTTTTGGTACTGGAGATTGAATTTGGGGCCTTTGCACTGAGTTACATTCCCAAGCGCTTTTTAAATTTTTATTATTTTGAGACAAGGTCTCACTAAATTGCTAAATTGTCCAGGCTGGTCTGGAACTTGTGCTCCTCTTGCCTCAGCCTCCCAGACGGCTGGGATTACAGGTATGTACCAACATGCCTGGCTAAGGTTTTTACATTTTTAAAAAAAAACGTGTGTGTGTGTGTGTTACTTGAATAGAGGGTATATAAACAAAAAGATTGAAATTTTTAAATTTCAGTGACTAGTGACTAGAGAATGTGATAATGAAGAAATTTCTAAAATCTGAAGCATAAATTATAGCAACAGGAATGTAATATAGTTAATGGTCTATTTCAAAACTTCCAAGATTAAATTAAAATTATTTTTAGTGATAGAACTGTGTACAAAGGTTAATACTATTGAAAATTATTTTGAGGTCAATCTTTTCTCCCTTTAAGACAGCCACTCAATAGTATATATGGTAAAATAATCTTGGATTGAGCAGAAAGGTAAATAAAAATAATTCATCGATGTTAAAACAATAGGAAAGACATGTCAGCCAAGATAATCATTTCATTTTTTAAACTTTTTTTTTTTTTTTTTTTTTTTGTACCAGGGATCAAACTCAGGACCTTGTGCTTGTGAAGCAGGCAGCT